TTCTCCCGTAATTTTGAGTAGAAATTGGTTTTTTTATTTTGATGTTATACATTTTTGGGTTAATCCATATGTTTTCAAGACTAATAAGAGACGGTAGTTATGAAACTTATAGAGTCTAAAGATAAGTTTGGATTTGTTTATTTTGAGTGATGAAGTGAAATTGTCTCGATGTATTCTAAGTAAATGGGTATTTGAGAAAGGAAAAAAGGAAAGCTAGTGTAGTTTATGCTTTAGTTATTATTGACCCAAAAATGTCTTCATTGAGATTGTGACTTTGCCCGTGGTTGTTAATTATATATTGGGTGATTTAAAGGTATCCATATTTTTAATAGCTAAAAAATTATCTCTAAATAAATAGAAATTTTGCTTTATGACTCCATCTATGATCTTCGTGCATGTTTTGGGATGGAGTTTTCATGATTTCTTACTTTTATAGATGATTTGTTAAAAAAATTTAATATTTTCATGGTTCCAATTACAATTTTTCTTAAGAACTTAGATTTAAATATGCTAGTCACCTTGGCCTAGTGGTCAAGAGCTGTCTTAACAAAGAGGTCAGGGGTTCAAGGTCATGTATATGCGGGATGCGAGTGTTTGGGTGTGCTTGTGTGGGAAAAAAAAATATTTACATGGGCTAAGTTTCTTGGCTATGCTTATATTGTAATCAAAGAGAGGCCAGAAAATATGCCTATACTTAAGTTGCTTGATTTTAGGAAGTGTTTGAGGTTTCTGTTGATGCATCTGGTTGCAGTTTTCGAGGAGTGTTTAGTTTGGATGGACAGCCTAGTGTGTTCTTTAGCGAAAAATTGACTGATTCTAAATATAAATATTTATCCTTCAATTAGGAATTTTGTCTCTTTGATATGGAGGCATTATATGTTACACAATGAGTTTATGCTATATTTGAGTTTCTATAGAAATATTTTTTTGTCCTCAAACACTATGTTAGAACTAGCAATGGACATGTTGGTGCTTGGAGCAGAGTTTCTATTCTTTTCTATAAAATGTTGATTTTGATGATTAATTTTATTTACTTAATAGCGTGTATCTTGTAAGATTGTTGGTGCGATTTATCAAAACTTAAATAATGACTCATCTCTTTTTGACAAAAGCTATATGGTTAAAGATGATTATTTAGTTGTGGGAATTCATTTTTATATTATCTATTCACCATTGAGTGAATTTTTAATTTTAGAATAACATGATGGGGTATTTATTGATATTTTTTGAGAACTAAGATCATTATGACGACCAAATATATGCATTTTTGGGCAAATCTGAAATTAAACATTATTGTATAATGTAAAACATGTCAATCTGCTAATGTTAAGAAGCAAACCACAAGATTTTACACATTGTTACCAATTTTATATAAACCCTGGGAGGATGTTAACATAGACTTTGTATTCAGATTACCACAAACGCTGAAAATATTATTAATTTTTTTAGTGGTAGACTTTTCTCAAAAAAATTCCCTTTTCATGACATAAGTAGTATTGTATCTCATACTGCTAAATTGCACTTTACCAAAGTATTTAAATTATGATTTAAAGTAAAATGATTATTTTTTATCAAGACTTTATGAGCTATTCCTTAAAAATAAAAAAAAAATGGAGCACAATTTAACATTTCAATCTCTTATCATTCACAGAGTGATGGTGAAATTAAATTGGTTAATAGAAGCCTTGGAAATTTGTTGTATTGTTTGATAGAAAGCACTATATCTTAGTGAGATTTTATATTGACCATGATTGAGATTTCATATTATTCATATGTTAATATGTCTACTTGTTTGAGTCCATTTGAGATTTTCATAAGTTTTAACCCTAATAGCCTATTGATAATGTCAATCTAGTCATAACTTGGCTTTGTATATTTACTCAATCATTCACTAAACATATGTATGCTTTGCATAAGATATTAACAAAAAAATGTTAATTTTGACATTTCCGAGGTTTTTGCAAATGCAAAAAAAAAATATAAGTGGAATATAAAAGTGATGATAATTTAATGTTGGTCAATCAAAAAAGGTTGTTTTATGGAACCTTTAAGAAGTCAATGCAAGAAAGGAGAGAACATTTGAAATTTTTGCAAATATTGAAATTAATGGCTAAAGATTAGAAATTTTAGAAAGTCAGGTATAAACTTAATTTTCTATGTGTTTGATTTGACTTAATTTTATAAGTCATTTATCAGTTATTGTGATTCATCTCTCTTTTCTTAGTCTTACAAGTTAACATCCTATTCTCAGTCAAATACTTATATGTAGCTTGTACCAAGTCTATTCTTGAAATCAAGATTGTGTCCATTGCTGATGATTAATTTTAGAGATATCTTGATTGTGATGATCAATAGATTACTCTATGGGAGACACCAAATTTTGAATTGATTTGCTTGATAATTATCAAATTTAAAATTATAGGAGCCCGAACTTGTTCAAGCTGGATATTTATGGAAATTTTTATTTTTCTTTTCTCATTCAAACTTTTATATTTTGCATTAAATTTAGTGCAACCAGCTTGCTTATTTTCTTATCATAAGTTGATTTATTTATTTGATTTATTTGTATTTAAAAACTTGTGGTTATTTTAGCTGAGAAATATTGTATCTTATTTCTTAATTTTAGGTTTTTTTTATAATTGGTGTGATTTTAGTCTCAATTATGCTTGGATTAATTTTTATTGGAAGTTGTTATGGTTTAAAGGAGATGAATTGGAGTTTGGAAGTAATGTTTCTTTATTTTGGAAGTTCATGATTTGACTTCAGCTTTGGGGTGGTGCATGTAAGTGCAGTTGTTTTTGGGTTTAATGTGTTGGTTTATAATCGTTGTCTCCAATTATGTTCCTATTTCACCATGGTGGTCTTTGGCTTCTTTAAAAAAGGGGGACATTAGCATACATACCAGCCAATTCCTATTTATTTACATATCTAACACATAAAATTTACTTTTTTAACATTAATACCAACTAATTCTTTCGTATAACATAAAAATACCACCATTTTAACTTCTAGAAAGTGAATTACACCTTTTCATGCATGGGAATGTTGTTACGTTTGTAAAATTTTAGGTGTTAGATATGTAAATACATAGGAATTAAGTGGTATGTATGTAAATTTTCCAACAAAAAAAAAAAAGAAGGCATTTTAAATCCAAATTTTGGATGTATTTCTCTTTGATGGTTTATGGGCGTTACTTGCAGGTTTAATGTGAAATAGCCATCGCCTACAAGTTTTTTTTCCTTGGTGGTGCAGGAATTTGTAACGAGGTCAAATGATTAGAAATTTCAAAGTTGGATTAATGATTGCTTGCTTTGGCAATTTAAACTTAGCTTGTAAATTAGTTTAAATTTGAATAGAGATTATATACTGGGCTAGCTTATAAGAAATCTATAAATAGTTGATTTTAGGCAATTCATCCACAACTTTTGCTTGAATAAAACTACTTTCCACATTGAATCTTGTTAATGCAGATTGGGATTGAGATTGTGTTCTGCTCATACTAACGTTAGGCATGGCTTTATTTTTTTTTTATATATTATTTCTTAAATTTGTGTAGTGCTTCATTCTTTATCAAAAAATGATGTCAAAAATCTAATTTGTGAAATTAAATGTAATTTTTTTGTTTAATTTTCATGTTTTCTATTTCTTGATGATAATTTTCAGTGTTTTTTTAATCATTACCTTAACATTTGGCTTCAAACATTAGTACTGCTAGTTTACACATAAAAAATTTCTTAACTTAATTAGTAACGTTTGACCTATGAATTTTCAAATCTTCTTCGATTAAAATCGAATTACACGTTATATTAGTTGCATTAGAAACTTTGCCCTGATACATCCATCATCAAATTTTGTTCATTTAATTTTGATACAGACTTGGATTCTAAATCTTAAAGTTTGGTTAAATAATATGATTAACTATTGTTATGCATTATAGGAAATTCTTATGAATTGGGGTAATATTATGTTAATGTTTTTCATAATTTTGAAATCACTGCAAAAAAATAGCAAATTTTGTGAAAAAATATTGAAGTTAAGATCTATTTGTCTTAGCCTAAAAAATTTGGTTTAGGGGACGATGATTGCAATCAACAACACTGAAATAGTATGCCGTTGGTCATTCGATCAAATCCTAAGCATTAGCAGTACTTAGCCGCATTGCATTGAGCGGCTCTATTCATTAGTTAAGATCCATAACCTTCTCCAATGCTCCATTGCTGTGAGATTTTGTTCCAATTGAACTATTTCGGAGTCTATTTATATAGATTCAGTTGAGAGTATTTTGCGCATATTCGGCTTAAGAGTTGGTGCTTATTTGAAACAATTAGAAGTGTTTCACAGTATTTAGAATTTTGAATTGTAAATGTTTTAGAAAATGGGCTAAATTTTATGATTTTTTTAATATAGTGAGAAATCTATAAATGTTTGTTTGAAATTAGAGATCTTGTTTTCTAAAATTTTGAATTTATCAGACCATCATTTGATTGGATTTAAAAATCAGTATAAATTTTACAACTCCACGTGCCCTTTTAAAATCATTCTAAAGTGATGATTTATTTTATATACGTAAAGTTAGTTTCAACAAAATCACCATTTCCTAAACCATGTATTCTATCGGGAAGTACCAAATGATCCTTTATATAACTTTTTTATTACAATGCCGAACAACCATGTTTTCTGTACTGATCCCTTTTTTTATTTTTTATTTTTTTTTTGGCAAATTAAATTTAGTGTGCTGCTTTCTTTTTAAAATCTTTTTATCAATGTTAGGGACCTTTTTTTTTTGGAAATCTCACACAAAATATGTGCAAATACCTTTATACCAACCATTTTATTTATAGAATCAGTATGTTTTACGCTTTCAACAATATTTTAAAAAAAATTATTGTTATCTGAATGCAAAGTTCTACAAAATGTAATTTTTTTTTTTTAACTGTTATGTCATTATATATAACTTTTAGTTGACTACTGGCTTAATAGTCATCATATATTTCTTCCAGGAATTAAAGGACCTGAAAATTAAAGCGGAATCGGTTAAGAGGTTGATGGAACGTGGTTATCGTGTGAAGGTAGGGGCTTTATCCTTCTTTAGTAGTTAAACATTCTTACTTTTCATACTTTTTTGTGGCTGTTTCAGAAATTGTATGTCAGTTCTTTTCAGTTCTTTTCATAGTTTTTTTTTTTTTTTTTTTTCGTTGCAAATTCTTACTTTTCATAGTTTAGATGGATGATATGTCAAATGTGCCTTTCTTCTTTTTTTAAATTTTGAACGGCCCCTATGATCACTGTGTATTAAATGTTGTGCAAACTCTTCTAGCTTTCTTTAAATGGATAAATGAGGAAAATAAATAAGTGAATGAAGAAGATGAGGGGTGGTAATGTTGGGGTCCTTTCTCGGAGCTTGTTGGCACATATAAGAAATTCTAACTGATACACCTTACAAACCATCCCTTATCTTTTGGATAATATTAAGTGCAGTATGTATTCAGTTAAATACTTTTTTAAGAACTATGGTACCGCCAAGGTGGAATACTGATACAACGTTATATACCTCATGTAAAGTGTGGAAAATTTGAACTTCTGATGCTTAATAATGGATTAGGAACATTATTGAATTTAGTTTTTATTTGCGTAGCCTATGCTAAAAATAAGGCATGTGTGTTATGTATAATTAAATTGGAACCAATCATTTTTGTCATTACCCTTAACCCTATTGTTTGGGACTGACATTATGATCACCGATTTTCTTTTCAGTTTTTAAGTCTCATTAATCTGTGCTATTTTTTTTCTCTCTTTTCATTCTCAATCCTTATTAATTTAATGTATTTGTCTTTTTGATGCATTTGTTTTTTTTTCTTGATATTATACATTTTTGAACAATCTATGTTCTTTTTGGTTTGTCTCGCAAGCTTATCTCCAATGGAAGTCACTCCAAGTACTCATATATAATTGTCTCAATATATCAATTTTAGTTTTGTCTCACTAATCTTAAAATTATCATTTTTTTAATATGATATACTTGGCGATGAAAAATTTATTGACCTCCACACGTTTATATAACAAAGCTTAATTGTATTTTTATTAAAATTTATTTTTCAAGTCTTAATGATATTCACTTATAGAATGATAATTTGTAGATTACTCTTCATTTCTATTTATAATTCTTAAATTCAGAAGTTCATTTTCAGCAGAAAAGAAATTCAAAAATAGCATGTCTGATCTTCCCATTTAGTGTCTTGCAAATCACCCCCTTCATGATTGCCTTACCACGAGAAAATATCTCTCAATCGGCTTGTGCCAAAAAAATTTCGTAGGTGGCCTTCTCTTGAAGTCCCTTGCACTTGGTCTCTCTCATTCCCAATTTTAGAGTTAAAGCTTCTCTCCACCTTTAGGTTTCTTACTGTGAATCATACTTCTTTTTCTTGGTCTCCTTGTCTCTCAACATATTTTCATGTTTCTTGCCCATCTTCTCTAGCAGCCCACTCAATGACCATGTCTCACACGCTTATTTGTCTTTATCACTAACTTGCACACAAATCCTAGATCACAACCTCCTCTGTATATACAGGCAACCCATTCAAGTTTCTCGCAGCACTTATCTCCAACATTTGCAATTAGCCATTGCTCTCACACAAAGAAAAAAAAAAAAAAAAAAAAACTTTGGCGCTTGTCCTTGCACGGAGTCCACACTTTCTATCCCAATACGTCGTCTCTCTCTCTCTTTCTCTCTCTCTCTCTCTCACACACAAATCTCTATGTTGTGAATCATGCCTCACTTCACCTAATATTTGCTAAGGTGAGCTTTATAGTCTTCTAATAGCGTAAATCATGCCTCAACCGTCATATTTTGGAGTAAACTTTGTAGTCTTCTTGACACAAGAAAACTAACAAATATTATGAGGAGATGTTTTATGATCTTGTTTTTCTCTCAACTACATTTAATAGCATACTAAAGAAAAGAAAGTTTGATTATAATAATGCATTGTATCTACTTGTCCAAAATTTGTGAGTTTTTGTCTTGTAAAGGGAGCAAAATAATGTCAAAGGATTTTAAAGGAGCTTATAAAACTGAAAAAATAATAATAATATCACAGGATTTGTGTTTAATTTTACAAGAACTCAATAACACGATGCATTGTGGTACTTAATACATTGGTGTCTACAAAGGCTAGACTTGCAACTAAAATAGTACAAAAATGGAAGGGTGGAGTTAGATGTTTAATATGCTAACTTTTGTTATGCATGCTCTAGTCTTTGTTGTGTGCTTATTCTTTATTAATTTTTAACCGCGCTTCATGTATTATAGTACCTATCGGTTCGATAAGAGTGTGCATTGACCAAATGAAGTTCTATGTTATGCTTTTTCATTTGAAACATTGAACTTCATAGATGCTACCATTAACCAGTGGTTGAGCAAAAATGCATCTCAGTGAATGTGCTTATTTTGTTTAAAGGTTATCTAATCACAGAAGGAAAAAGTAGCTTCTTGCTCTTGATGAAATCAAAAATAAATATTACCCCTTTGTTTTTTTTATAATTATCATTGTTATCTTGCACAAAAAATACTTATTATATAATACCTCATGCTTGTAAATACAAATTTATGCAAATGCTTTGATTAGGCAATATTGCCTGCTTTTATTCCATTCTGGCTTTCGTAGTATGTTGCTGTGCTTTGAGAAGTGATTTTTTTCCGCAAACTAGTAAAAAAAATTAATATTTATATCAATTTCATGTATTCTAAAGATTAAGTACAATTAATAAGAAACGTAAAATAAAATATAGTTTGTTTAAAACCCCAATATCGTGAATTTGCCATAAAATGCATGCTTCAACTCCAAACTATTCAAAAGGTGATTTGGGGGAAAATATTTCATGTACAAATTTAGCGGATTTTGTAAATCCTGGAAGTCTGGATATATTAAATTGTGCTAACACTAGTATTTATTAAATCCGGGATTTAGGGTAAAATTGTGAAGAAGTTGGATTTATTAAATCCGAGATTCGAAACTGTCAATTTTTTTATGATTTGGCAAAATTTAAGTTAAATACAACTTAAATCCATTACCTTGCAACCTTTCAACATTCATATTAAGGCACAAAAATCAACAATGTTGTTAACAAATCGATGTATTAAGTGATTCATCAAAATATGTGCTAATTCATTTTCGTGCTCTAAATGATCTGATCACAGGAGTTTAATTAGATCCTTTGGGTGACCTAAGTGGACTATGGTACCTTTCCGGTGATAATAAATTACAAAGATGCAATCTTATAACCGAATTATCATAACTAAGAACTCAATTCAATTTCATAGCGTTGACTTTGTCTGGATGAGTTATCGTCTCAAAATTCATTTTACGACATGCCGCAATGAATTTAAAATGAACAATAGAATTCTTCGGTCCACCTTACCTATAGTAATACCATAAGACTCAATTCCACACCCCGTCTTCTTTGATCAGATTAAAATAAAGCTAGCATGCTCATTAAATCGAGCAATTGCCTTCTAGTTGCTATAAGCTAAAATCCAATTAACATGACCGATGCAAAATCAGTAAGAGCCCCTAAAGCTAATTTAGTTAATAAAAATGGGCTTCTAGTCTAGTTTGATATGTGGTCTAACGTTTAGGAATGAATCAGCTAGCTCTATTCCTAATTTCTTGATTCAAAGGATGATTGAGAATTCCTGATTTTTGTCTCTGTCTGCCCTCTCAGTATCTTAGCGGAGGGAGACATGCTTGAACTTCTGCAAAGAATTTATTACAAATATAATTTGCTTAAATCCGCTTATTGTATCTATTGTTAATTCACACCGCCCCAATTTGGTGCATTAGAAATGTTTTTTTACATTTATTCATTGCTTCTTTGATTGTTGTTTGTGTTCCTTATTATACTTTGAAATCCTTTTTTCTCACTCTTAATGCAACTTGCTGATACATTAGCTAACTTATTTTGTTCATTTAAGTGTACTGCTATGCCCACAGGTAAAGATGAGGAAGATCTGGGAGGCCTGCTATTGAATCTTCTATCACTGGTGAAGCAATATTCTCATTATTTTCATTTTTAATAAATTAATGGAAAATTTATGTACATACGGCTCAATTCTTATGTATTTACATATATAACACTTTATGTATATGCACCTTGTGCATGAAAATGTTTTGTTTCATTTCTCGAAAGTTGAAAATAATAGTATATTTGATGTGATATGAAACATTTGAGCTGATTTTGGTGCTGGATATGTAAATACATAGAAATTGGTTGGTATTTATGTAAATGCCCCTAGATTAGTTACCCATCATTAGCTGAATAATACTATTTCTACTAGTGCTAGCTCCACCTTTTCTTTTAGAGACCACAGGTGCTAGCTTTATTGCTCACTTTCTGAAAAAATTCAAATTTACAGATAGAAGACATATCTGTTGTTGAAAGTGGCCCTCATCTGGATACAAAAAATGCATATGTAATTGTAAAACACATCAAATTTGCTTCTAAGAAAGGAAAGAAGGTCAGCAAAGCCATGGAAACTGTTAGCAGTGTTCTGAGTACTCGTTCCATTGCTGCAGCAGATAACAACAGTGTCAGTGAAGAGGAAGATGATATCCAGACTGAAGAAGAATGGGAGGCTGTTGAATCCGATTCCGAAACTGAAACCAACGAACCATCCAAACAAGTTGAAACAAATACCCAAAATCTTCCTCGTTCGCTCCCCACCCCGCCGCCAAAGGTGGTCGGCCATGATTTTGCTTCACTTACAGACAGAATTAACAAAGCAGGTGGAACGAATGCTGCTGGTTTTAGGCCCCCTCAGCCAGATCCATATGTTGCTGAGACAAACCGATATAGCAGAGGAAGTAATTCGACGTTCAATCAGATCAGACCGAAGAATCGAGACCCTGTTTTTCGTGGAAACACGTCTATTGGAAACAGACCAAGGATTTCGGAACATAGCAACAGACATGAAATTGAAGGTCGTGGTCTATCGAATCCGAATGATCGACCGGTTCGTAATTCTGGTCCCGATTCTTCGTCTTCTCGCAATCAAGTTTTCCGAGACTCACAGAGTTCTTCGACTTCGAATTATGGAATCTTTAGTGCTCCGAAAATAATTTCGTCTGATGATCGGATGAAACAAAGAGATGGAGCTAGAGATGATTCTAGTGGAGCAGCTTCGAGTCGTGTTGATACTCGTAAGTCTAGTCATTCGAGCCCACCTTCACCAAGGTTTGGAGTTTTTACCTCTACGAAAAAGGCCGGCTCTGGCGATGGACGTGTGGGGGATAAAAACTGAATTATATGTTTCAGCCGGCTGTTTTTGAATAATCTAACGGTCATGTGAATTCAAAAACTGCGGGCACGCAGACCGGGGATATTGTAACCAGGGGTGGGTAGAGTAGGCAGTTAACCCGGTACCCTGGAGCAGAATTGTTTCAAAAGATGAAGTATAGTCATGGAGATAAATTTAAGAGGCAGGAGCTTCATATTTACTGATGTTGATTTGTAAGCTGTTATTTTTTATTTTATTTTATTTTTAATGCTTCATTGTGAAGCATAACGATGATGAAGAGTGTTTATTGGATGTATCTGAGGATGTGATAAAGCCGACCTTCATTGATGGCGAGGGTGTAATAGAAAATAGCACGAAAATGAAACTTATGATGGTGGCAATTTTGTACTGTAAGCAATTGTGCATTTCTTCACGTCTCTGACAAGCGTGGGAAATTTACATTCACACCACTCAATTCTTATGTATTTACATATCAAAACCTCTAAATTTTACTTTCTGCATTAATACCAACCAAATCTTTTATATCACATCGAAAATACTGTTCTTTTTTTTTTATTATTTTGAAAAGTGAATTACACTTTTTTGATTCATATAGACAAGGCGGCATGTTACACATATGTAAAAATTGAAGTTTAGTTGCCAGATTTGTAAATACATAAGAATTGAGTGCTGTGTATGTAAATCTTCCTAAAGATTTTTGTATGATTTTGCTTTGCAGCTAGCTTGAGCGGGTTCGGGCTTGGCTCGTGTTTGGCTCGTTCGAAATAACTCGTGTTCGAAATCGGCTTGTGAACAGTGTGTTTGTGTTCGGCTCGATTTAAATATTTGTGTTTGTGTTCGGCTCGAAATTGGCTCGTTAAATTAAAATTGAGAAAAGTAGATATAAATTGTGGGATTCGAACCTGGATCAAATATATATAAAAAAAGACACTAACCACATTGTCACATGGGATGTTATGATTTAAATTTAGACATAAATATATATAATATATTATTATATAAATAATATATGTAATATATTGTTATATAAAAAATTATATTTTTTTTTCTAGTCATTTCGAGCCGAAAATAAGCGAACAAACTGTTGTTCGTGTTCGGCTCGTTTATATTTTAGGGTTTGAGCTTAAAAAATATGTTCGTGTTCGGCTAATTCATTGAATTCAGAGACATCAATCATTGACGTGTCAGGTGATAAGGCATTTTATATATGGTATGTCTGTTTTTGTTATTAAGTTTGCTCAAATATTTAATTAAAATTATTTATCTTTCCTATTTCTGTACTGAAAGCTAAGCCTTAACCACTTTTATGATTTATGTTGAATTCTAGGTGAGTATTTGCATGTATACGGCTTAGGCCAGTGATTGGACAAATCACATTATTTTAATTAAAACCTTTGTTTATTAATTTTGCATAAATATGAGCTAACTAATTAAATTAAATTGGTATAATTATGGCTATTTGCTTTAATTGATTACCTTAGTCTGACATGAATATTTAATTAATCTAGACCAGACTGGCCTTTTAAATGTGTAATGAAGTTGAGGAAAGTTATAGGCAACAATAATAGATTTTAAACCTGTATCAAATATATATATATATA